ATTCTCCACCTCTGCTCTTTTGCAGACATCACTGGGCAGGGAGGAGAATCTGCTTGATGCCAAGAGAACCATTTTTCTTAAAGCAGAGGACCTGCCTTGGTCTAGAAAGATAAATTCAGACAGGCCAGGCACACAGGAAGAAGACATGGGCAGCCAAAGCAACACAAAAGAAACAGCAGGTAGACACCTCCCCCTGGTGCTAGGGGGTCCATGAAGACAGTGAGGAGGGAGGACCCTCCCGGGATGAGAGAGATGCAGAGATAACGTGGAGATGGGTACCCTGGAGCATAAGCCCCAGGCTGAGCCCTGCCTCAGGCTCTCCAAGAGTCCCTCTAGCCAAGTGAGCACCAGGGCCAGAGTGGGGACTCCTCTTCCTTTTTTTTTTTTCTCTGTTCTTCCCCCACCCTTCTTTTTTGGTTTTGTTTTTTTGAGGCAGGGTCTCACTGTGTGTAGTTCAGGCTGGCCTTGAACTCACTGTGGAACCCAGGCTGGCCTCGAACTTCGGTGATCCTCCTGCTTCAGCCTCCCGAGTGCTGGGATTACAGCCTCTTGCCACTGTGCCAGCTCATCTTCCCTTTTTAAACACTGCTTCTCAAAGAGTGGACACTAGTAAACTGATAGGAACAGTGAATTGTGAGACCTAGGAAGCTCATAAACACAGTCCTCAAGTCTGATGGGGAAGGTGCATTGGGGGCCTTTGGCTAACCTCAGGGATCCCTGCCAGGCTTGCTTATCACCTCCACGGGACGTAGTCACTGTTCTGAGCTCCACCAGTGAGCGTCCCCTGCCAGCTCCTCGACACAGACCAAGCCAGTGGAGCGAGCACAATGGGCTGCAGGAGCGCAGTGGTCAGGAGCGCTGGCTTCTTCCAAAGAGAAAACTCCACCTGTCATTCAGGGTCCACTGCCATCTGCGGGGAGCCTTTGCCTGCCCCTGGGAAGGTGGCGGCTGAGGAAGGGAGGACATGGGGGCGGGATGGTTGGAGCTAGCGGGAGCCAGCTCCCTGATGGTGCCTCCCTGGCAGCCCGTGTGGGGCTCTCAGCAGGTCCTTCTATCCCCCCAGACCCTGTCCTCAGAAAGGATTAAATCTCTGGGACTGGTTTTCCATGTCGTGTGGCAGGCCCCTGAGGTCATTTCCTCCTTCGTTCATGAGTTTAGGGTCTTGAGGGCTGTGGCGTGAAGAAAGTGATATGGAGAAAGGAGACTGGGTACTTACCTAGCTAGAATTGATACTGGGCGATGAGGATGGCAGCGTCAAGCAGGGATGACCCGCCATTTCCTCTGGGAATACGTTGAATTACCCCACTGTCATCAAGCTGCCTGCCTCTCTTCTCTTACCTCCCATTCTCAGTCCAAGCCAAGGGTTAGGTTACAGAGGGGAGCCCATTGCTTTCGAGGTGACAAGGGACACCAGAGAAAGAAGTGTCGGGACCTCTCCTCCAGACAGAGAGGGTCGGTTGCCCTTCTCCAGTAGGAAATAGACACCTTGGAGTTCCCACCCAGAGGAGTGAAGTCTCCAGCCTCTTCCCACCAAGGTGCAGCTGCTAACCTGGCATCGGGAGCATTTCCTCTCGCCTGGCTCCTTACCTATTCTCGTGGTCTTCAGACCTCTGGGAGCAGTCTTCGTCCAGTGTTTCCCAACACTTTCCATTCTTCAGTCCCAGAGGACTGTGCCCAGCAGGTCTTTCCTGTTTCTGATGGGCTCTGACCCCCTCCACATCATGCCTGTGGGCCTCAGAGTTCTGGGAGCCTTGGCAGTACACAAAATGGAATGGACCATGCTCGTTATGTAGTGGAAAAAATTCCAAATTAGTAGATCAGTCACAGATTTAGTTAGCCTGGCTCAAGCACTGCCACACACAGGAACAAGTGCCTCCCAGGAGATGGGTTAAGTAGCATGCTGGTCCAGACATCTGCGCCTCGCACTCCTGCACTCCTGTGGCTGCCTGTGGAGGACGTTTGGAGCTGGACGTTGACTTGGGAGGAGAAACACAGGCGGTAGTAGGAGCGATTTGTACAACCACCCTGGATTATTGTCCCAGACGGGCATCCTTCCTTGATCTACTGACGCCATGAGTACCCAACATAGAGTCAGGCCCCATGTGTACTCATCCCTCTTAGCAACAAGAGCCAGATCTGGAACTTGAAAGTCCTCTTTTCCTTCCTGAGCTGCCCTGGCTTCACACAGAAGTGTACTGAGAGAAAGCTTCTCATCTGGCTAGTGGCCCACATGTTGAAGTTTGACTTGAAGTTCTTCCTAAAGAGATTAAAATCAATAGATTAGAACAATGGTGAGAAATTAAATTAACAAAGGCTTTTTGAACAGGTTATTAAATATATATAGATACATGTTTTTGTTTTGTTTTGGTACCGGGGATTGAACTCGGGACTTTGTGCTTGCAAGGCAGGCAGCAGCACCACTGAGCTAAATCCCTGGCCCCTATAAATTCATGTGTTTGACGTCAGGGTCACTGAGGTATAGTTCAGGTGGTATGACTTTTGTAACTTGTGGGGTCTTTAGTTTGTACACTTTTAAAATTCACCACACAATCATTTTTGATGTACAACTCAGTAGTGTTAAGTACATCCACATTGTTGTGCAGCCAGTCTCCAAAATTCTTTTCATCTTGCACAACTGAAATTCTATATCCATTTCCTTTCCCTTCAACCTTGGCGACCACTGTCCTACTTTCTGTCGCTATAAATTTGACTTCTCAGCACCTCATACTCGTACAAATGTAATCATAGCATTTTTGGTGTTTGTTTTTGTTTTTTGTCACTGGCGTGTTTTACTTATTATACTGTCCTCAAGATTCATCCATTCTTCCTTTCTGAGTTGTATCACATTTTGTTTATCCTGTTGATGGACATTTGGGTTGCTTCTGAACTCTGGCAGCTACTGCAAGTAGTGCTGCTATGAACATGACTATCCAAACATCTCTTCTCTGATTTCTGAAACTCACACTTTTTAAAATTGAGTTAAGGGATGAGCCTACAAGAATCCTATTCCATAATGTCTCATAGCCTCGCATCCTTTATCATTTGGAAAAAAATGAGGAATCCAGCACTGTGTTCATCTGTTTTCTGCTACTATAACAGAATACCACAACATGAGCGATTTATAAATAAAAGAAATTTATTTTGCGTGGTCTGGACCCTGGGAAGTCTAGGGTCAGGAGCCAGCACCTGGTGAAGGCTTCTTGCTGTATCACACATGGCACAGGGTGGATGGGAAGTGTGAAAGCTCAGATCTCTCTTCCTCTTGTTACAAAACCATTAATCCAGGGCTGGGGATTTAGTTTAGTGGCACTGCGGCTGCCTTGCAACTGCAAGGTCCTGAGTTTGATCCCCAGTACCAAAAAGTAAAAATTTTTTAAAAACATTAATCCCCGTCATGGGGGCCCCACCCTTGTGGCCTGATCTAACCCTAATTACCTCCTCTTGACCCCACCTCCACATACCATCAACATATGAATTAGTGGATTAAGATTCCAACACTGGAACTTCCAGGATACATTCAACCATCACAAGCACTAATTTCACCAGGGAGCATTGTAAGCTTCTACTCTTACTTGCTCTTCAAAACCTACTGGTAGTGACCTTCAGCTAGCCCTGCTTAGAGAATCACAAAATAGACGGTAGCAACAGGTCAGCTCTGCCCCGGTGACTGAGACACTGGTCATGGGCAGAACTTGCAGTGACATTGTGGGCTGCTAAAAACCACCATCCCACTTCCTCTCGCAGGGACCCTTCCCCAGGCCAAGAAGGGATGCAGCCCACAGGGAGAGACTGTCACATCCAGCCACACTCTGTCCCTCTCCTGTGTGCCCTTCTCACTGGCAAAAATCTCCACCTAACATCTGTGATCCTGTTTCACAGTCAGGAGAGGGGCAGAGGCTGAGGAGTTGCTAAAATAATCTCCTGAGCAAGTTGATCACTTCTTAGAAAAGGGGGAGCTAGCCGGCCCGTGGATGGATGAGATTCCCCCCACCCAGCCCCAAACAGCGTCCCTTTGCATGCCCTTTTATTGTCGCTTGTGAAATCCATATTCTCCATCATCTGGCATTCAGATAGCTAGGTCAGCTCTGCTTTCAGCTCAAAGGTGGTTGGGGTTAGCGTTCTACTCTCCTGTCAGGAGGAAAGGGAATCTGGTTCAGGGACCAAAGCAGATCTTATTCATCTCATCTCTTAAGACCCCCAAGACGGAGTCCTCCACAGCGCCCAGACACAGGTCCCCGGGCATTGAAGAGCTGCAGAAATCAAATCACATCCATCACAGGAGGATAGCGGGGAAGCAGGGCGAAGGTGATGGATTCTGAAGAGTGAATGTACACCTTTGTGCTTCTGCCTTCTTAAAATTCATCCTCTCACCTGCCAGCCTGGAGAATTGCCTATTTACATAACTAGCTGCCTAAAATGGAATATTGGATAATGGTACATGGCGGCTCCCTCCATGTGAGCCCGTCCCTGGGATCTGAGAGCGATCCAGAAGCCCTCCGACGCTGGCCTGCAGCCATGCCTGTGCATGGTGTCATCTGTCAGCCCTCCAGAGCCAAGCAGATGTCAGGCCTGAGCGGCCCCCGGGTGGGGGGGGGGCTCTAGCAGGGGGCGGGGGCCTGATTCAGCGGTGGCACTGTCAGCAGGGGACAGGCAATATCTCTTCCCGGGCTTCACGGTGGGGGCCTTGTTCTACCCAAGGGGCTGCGTTGGAGGCGACACACAGAGGGCCTGTGGACGGGGGGGTCACAGATCCATGGGGGGTGCCCTGCCCACGGGAGGTGATCTGTCCACTCTGGCGCCATCCCAGGCACTGAGCCCCTGTGGGTCCTTTCCAGGGCACCAATCTCTCCCATCAAAACCAGAATCACGCTGCTCACTTACAGGAGGAGCATAAATAAGTGAACAGGAAGTGTTCTGATAATGACAGGCGGACGTAGCTCCTCAGCAGACCAGATGTATCAGAGAAGGCAATTGTGTGTGTTTGTTCATTTATTTTTCAGCATTCCGGTTCCTGTAGTCAGTTTAGAGAAAATCCCTAACCTAGTGAAGGCAGACGGTACCAATGTCAAAATGAACTCTACAACCACTACTACAGTCACCTCTTCCTCTTCCACCTCCTCCTCCTCCACCACCGCCGCCGGCTCCACCCCACCTTTAATTAAGCCCTTCCTGATGTCCAAGTCAGTGCCGCCTTCACCAGAGAAGATCCTAAATGGCAAAGGAATTCTGTCGGCCACCATAGACAAGAAGCACCAAAATGGCACCAAAAACAGCAACAAGCCTTACCGGAGACTTTCAGGTATGTGTCAGTGTCATTAGAGTCTGGCTCATGATAAGGCTAAAGTTGAGTCCGATCTGTAACCAAGGAGTGACATGTTCATATAATTAAGCTTTACCTGCAAGTGGAACCACCACCCAAAAGCACAGGGGAGAACTGCATCTCTTGGTCCCCAGAGCTTGCAAGCGGTGGCCTCGTGAGGCCGCACCATGCTGACACGTGACCACCCTTGGCTCCCAAGGATGAATCACTGCTGTGGAGGCGACAGTCCAGAGGGCTCAGGGCATGCAGCATGCTACACAGGGGAAGTACCTCTGCCCCCGGGCCTTTGGGTTTCCAGGGAGCTTCCAAGGTTGGGATACAATTGCCCGTTCCTCGTGAGGAAGCTGGAATTCCCAACTGGGAAGGCCCAGGTCAGCACAGCAGGAGGGGAGTCGGGAGTTCTCCCTGGGCCTTACTACTCGGCTGTCTGAACCCGGCCACTCTTCAAGGTGACAGCTTCCTTGCTAGAGGCCCCAAGTGGATGATGTTTGCTTTGGATCTGTTGTAGAACTAAACCTGGCAGCCGCTCTCTCCAAATGAGCGGGAAAAGCTATGAACTTCCAAGCTTCTCCACTGTGGGCATAGCTAGTGGTAGCCAGAAAAATTAAAATACAGGGAAAGCCACCTCCTAAGAGAGAGGCTGTCTTCTGCCGTGAGTGTGTTTTTAAGTACCCAAGGAAGTGTGGGTAATTTTTAGTTTCTACTTCATGTTTACCTGTGTTTCTGGTTTTTCTAACTTATATCTTATAGCCCTTGAAAAAATGATGTCTTAAAAGTAGCTCAGGCCCAAAGCATTCAGTGAAACAGGTGCTGTGCCCAGCACATCCCTCCTTTGTACCCTTCACCCTCTCTGAGCGTGGTGGACCAAGCCCCAACTCCCAGCTCTTCCCGAGCAGAAAATGCAGTCTCACTCTGCAGACGTGGGTGGTGATATCCCTGGAAGAAAAAAAACATAGGCCTGGCCACAGTGTCTAGGGGCTGTCCATTCCTTGTCGCAGCAGAAGCCTGACCACAGCTCCCAGCCTGTGCCCCAGTCTGAAGTTGTCTGGGCATTGGGGGCAGGTTGTTGCTCTTTGCACTCTGTTGCTTGTCTTATCTCACTGGGTCTTCTGCTTGTTTCTCCTTCCCTCTCACATTTGGCAACCAGCTCCTGGCCCCAGCCAGTAACCCACTGCGCTCTGGGCCAGCATGAGGTACGCATGGTGTCCTGGGCCCAGACCTGAGGGAAAGCCCCTAGCAGGGAGCCAGAACCTGGCATCTGAGCACTGGAGTCATGCTGGGCGCAGGGCTCCAAGGAAACAGGAGCTCCCAGGTTTGCAGCTTTTCTCCAAAAAAAGGCAGAAATAGAAAGGAGGAGGGATGCATTTTGATAGCCTCAGATGTAAGGATGGCTTCCAGCAGACATTGCGCTGGGCTGCTGCCACCTTCTCCTAAGCCCAGCCCCCCCCCCGAAACCAGAACACTCTCACCAAGTGCACTCACAGGCAGTTTGTGGCTCAGTGGCCTCTCTTGAGTTTGCAGCCATCGAGGCCCTCAGGACAACCAAAGGCTCTGTAGCTTCTCCTGCCAGGAGCCCCTGCCATGCTGTGGGGTCCCTGCTCTGCGGAAACAGCAAAGGTACCCCAAAGCCTAAAGGGACCTCACAAGATTGCCTTGTGTCCTCACATTTTCCAGGCATGGTGAGCCTTTTTGGTCATCTCAGAAGGGGTGAAGGAGCCACATGGGGTGTAAAAAGAACAAGTTCCTTAGACGTGATCTCCACACGGGCCATCAACAGGAGGGAGGACCTGGAGAGCCCAGACTCCCTACACAGCCACCTGCCTCCACGGGAAAGTGGGTCCTGCCTCATTCCCGATGGCGCTTCAGGGCCGGGGCTGGGGCAGAGCACAGGGCCAGCCATGCAAGGCTCACGGCAGACTTTTCCCTTCCCTGCCTGGGACAGTGCTGGCAAGTTCCTGAACCAGGTACCCACCCTGCAGGTCTGAGAAGCCTCTGCCGAGGGCTGCAAGGACAGCATCAAACCCAGAGAGGAGGTCACACTGACGCGTCAAGGAGCAATCTATCACTGAAATGGCCATGGGGGTGGGGGCTTTCGGGACAGCCTGAGGAGAAGGGGCCCTCAGTATCAGATGGCTGTCCCTGGTCTGCAGCCATTGTGCCCAAAGTGCTGAGAAACAGTGGGACCAATTCACGTAAGCCCAACTGTCTCCAGCAGCACAGCACCCTCCTTCTGAGGCCTGCTCCTGCCCTGTCCCCTGCACCTGATGCTGGACTTACAAACTCTGGGTTCAGGGAGGACCACTATTTTCCCCTGAGCAGTTCTTGAAGCATTTTAGCAGCTGGTTTAAAAAAAAAAGATTGCCTGACAATGTCTCACTTGTTGGTGCAAATGTGCATTTAAAAAAAAAAAATGTAGTCTTAATGCCAAATCCTATTTAGTCTCCTTTTTTCTTATATTTTTTGTTTGTTTCTTAAACCAGAGAGAGAATTTGACCCAAATAAACACTGTGGAGTATTGGATCCCGAGACAAAGAAACCTTGCACAAGATCCCTCACCTGCAAGGTATTTCTCTTTCCATAAAAAATACTTCCTCCTCTCGCTGGGGCCTTTGTCGACGTGTTTGCATGCCACTCTCTGCACACGGCAGGGTGTGGAACCTCGACATGACCTCCAGCTGTTCTTTGTAAGGGAAATGCTTTCTTCTGGTCCACGGTAGCAGAGTGCCTGCCTCAAGCTGGCTGGCTTTTTAAGGAGAAAAAAAAAAAAAAAACTAGGCTTCCCCTGTTACTTGGGAGGCCAGACAGTAAATTGTATTTATAGGCACTCACAGGCGGTTCTAAAGCCTGCCACATTTTAATGTATGCAGGAGCGGCGGTGGCGCGGCGCGGCAGCAGCGTCCTGAAAGGCAGCCCTGGAGGGGAGGATGCAAAACCGCGCCCCTGATCCAGCCGCGCACGGGTGGCCAGGGCAACCTGGGCCCAGGGCAGCTGCCAGCCTGTAGCCCAGAGCCCCCTGTTTCCTCCTGAGCTGCTGGTGCACCTGGGGACCGAGGCTGTGGCCGCCTGGTGGTTCTATCTGTCTGGCCTGACTCCACCTCCCACCTGCACCCGGATTAACTCTCACATCCCCTCGAGGTCGCCTCTCACCAGAGGTTTTCGTGGGTTTGCGCTGAAGCTTGGGCATCTCAGGCGATTTTTTTTGGAGGAAGCTTTGGCTTCTTCACAGCAGGAGTCTAGGGCCTGGTTGCATTCGTGTGGTCTCTGCTTCTTCCCAGCCACAGAACAGGAGCTGTTGCCTTGAAGTTGACTTTTCAAGCACCTCTAAATGCCTATGGTTGCTATTTCTGAAATGCAGGGCATAGGGAAGCAGGTTTATGTGCTGATCAAAGAGGCTGTGCTTCTCATCTCTCTTCTCCTTAGACACACTCACTAAGCCATCGGAGGGCAGTCCCAGGCCGGAGAAAGCAATTCGACCTCCTCCTGGCGGAACACAAAGCCAAGTCCAGAGAGAAAGAAGTCAAAGAGCATCTCCTGACTTCCACAAGGGAAATACTTCCAAGCCAACCCGGGCCGGTGCAGGACTCACTGCCAGGATCTTCAGGGAGCTCTGGGCCAGAACCGAAAGTCACATCCCCTGCAAAATCCAGGCCACCTAACTCTGTAGTACCCAGGTAAGGCCCGCGTTGGCTGCAGAAGCCCTGAGCCCTTGGCTGAGGGACTTTATCTTGCTGGGTGTGGGGTGGTCTGATCATGCATTAAATGGAAACCCTAAGGGTACTACCGCTCATGGCACTTGTGAAATCTAAATGAGGTGCTGTGCATGAGGGACTCAGCCCAGGGTCTGCCACTCCATGTTCAGCAAACTTTACTGCTGTCATCATCCTCGTTGTCGTAGCATCAGCCTTCATACCAGGCCTGTCTCAGACAGTGAGTGTTTTTATGAGACGAGAGTGACCTGGAAGTAAAAAGCCTGGAAGGGTGACACATCAGCCACCAGACAACTTCCCAGCTGCCTGGGGTTTTGCATTAGTTGAAGATTCCTGGAGCAGCAAGGGAAGCCTGGGTAGACAAGTAGTCCGCATGCCTTGAAAGCTCACTGGACTGTACCAGCCTGTTTGCCACTGTATTTTGTGATTGATCTTCCAACACTGTCCTGTAATCAGGACCAAGTGTAGTTGGCATAGTTGAGTCTGTGTGTTCTTACATTTCTATCCCAAGAAAGAACAGAAAACACTTGAATTAAGAACAATTTAAAATACACGCAAGTCTTGATCGGCAGTGGACCCATTTCCAGGTAATAGGACAGGGAACTATATTCATTCAGTAGTACTTACCAAGGTACTCAGTGAGGTGTTTTGGGGCAGGGGTAGAGAGAGAAATGACACTAGATCTTGTTTTTCAAAAATTTAGAGTTTAAAAAATGAGATAAGGTGCAAGTATCCATGTTTTTGCACAAAAAGGAAACAATAATACTCCATACAGATACTGCCATTGTCTGATAAGACTTTCTCATGCATACACTGTTCTCAAAGGGTAATTGTCCAATAAGTAAAAAGCCTTTGAGAGAACCTTGTTTGTGAAGAAGAGCAGGAAGTTGAGTTTTAAAGCAAAAATAAATATTTGATGGCAGTTGTTCCTGGCCTGCCAGCTTCTCACCCTCGTGCACTTTGCACTTTGGCACAAGCCTGACCAGGTCTGGCTGCACAGTTCCTCTGTGGTGACAGCCGAGCCCATAATCCTTGCAAGGGACACAGTCGAGGGAGCTGGCACCTCTGCTTTTCCATCATCACAACCCTTGCATCGCTGCCATCCCTCACAGTGCAGCACCATCGACATGGCCAGGTGTGGGTTAAGGGTGTCACCCTTGGGTAGGACTGAAGGAATCATTCTGTTCCTGACCTCTGGGAGGGGCTTCAGTTTTACATGCAGTAGCCCTCCATCATCCAAGACCCCCAGTGGAGGCCTGAAATGCAGCATGTACCAAGCTCTGTAGATACTATTTTTCCTATACGTACATCCTCAGAATAAAATTTATAAAGTAGGCATGGTAACTGGTAATAAAATTGAATAAAATAAAATAGAGCAATTATAGGAATACATTATAATAAAATTGCTACCATTGTACTCTTGTGCTCTGGGGCTATGATTAAATAAAATAAGGGTTCTTTGAACACAAACACTACAATACTGTGATAGTTGATCTAATAACCAAAACCGCTAACTGACTAACAGGGGTGTAGCATTTGAGTGTGGCTATACCAGACAAAGGGATGATTTGTGTAAGTGGGTCAGAGTGGGATGGTGCTAGATTTCATCACACTCCCCTGAACTGTGAGTTTTATCAATTGTGTATTTTGGAATTTTCCATTTAGCATTCTTGGACCTTGGTTGACCATAGGTAACTGAAACAGCCAAGTGAAAACCGGATAAGGGGAATTTGTGTATAGTAATTTTTCAATTCTTTGTAGCTGTGGAAAATTTTCATTGCAGTGCAACTTCCCACAATGCCCAATGTAAAAGCAGACTTGCCTCTACCTGAAACTCACCTAGCCCTTCTGTCGCATGCATACCCAGAGCCATCGTCCACCGAACCTTTTAAGGGATCCTCAAATTTGCCAAAAACTCCAGGAAACCTAGTTTGAAAACCGTTTTTTTTTTGGTACCGGGGATCGAACTTGGGACCTTGCGCTTGTGAGGCAGGCGCCGGAACCACTGAGCTAAATCCCTGGCCCATGAAAACCCTTTTTTATTAAACATTTTCCCCTGAATTTTTTTTTTTTTTTTGGGTACCGGGGATCGAACTTGGGTCCTTGTACTTGCGCAGCAGGCGATGAAACCACTGAGCTAAATCCCCGGCCCACCCCTGGATTTTTGACTGATGGCACTTTTCATCCCAAGCGGTGCCCAGGTTAACAGAACCTTGGGAGCAGCTGTTCAAAAGTAAAACAAGGAGGAGCCAGGGATTTAGCTCAGTGGCACCGTGCCTTCCTCACAAGCACAAGGTCCTGAGTTCGATTCCTGGTACCAAAAAAAAAGTAAAACAGGGAGTAGAGCCTTAAGTACCTTTGTTCTGTTCCTTTTTGCACTTAGTTTAGTTAGGAAGAGATCCAGCGCAATCAGAAACTGAAAACACATGGTCAGAATTTAGTATTGTAATCACATGAAACATACGAAAATATGCATTTACTCCTCTTAATGACACATATAATAGTTCAGCATGGGGATGTGCCTCGGGCATCGAGCGCTTGCCTAAATGTGGGCAAAACCCTGGGTTTGATCCCCAATGCCACCACTGAAAAAAAAATCATTATCTATAATTGGCAAAATAGCAAAAACTATCATACATGAATGCAATGATCATAACCCTTTCCCAATTATAAATTTCCTCTATAGCAAATGCTAACATCTGTGAATTTATTTCTCACGTATCTTTTTGATAACATTGAAAATATTGAGCTCTTATATCTTGAATTGTAACCCATCTTTGTCAGAGACGGCTTGAAAAGGAACTTGGGCCTAGAATTAGGAAAGAGCGAGTTAGATAACAGGGGCGGGAATAGGGTTTGAAGGGAAATTTCCCCTCCATGCTGATTAACTACACAGGCTTGATCTTGGTTCTGAGCCTCTCCAGCCTCTGCTTGCTCCTTTTTTATTTTTTACTGTGCAACAGGGTCTTGCTAAGTTGCCCAGGCTGGCTTTGAACTTGTGATCCTCCTCCCTCAGCCTCCCAAGTAGCTGAGATTACAAGTATGTGCCACCATGCCCAGTGCTACCTGATTTTCATATGTCTTCCTCCTGGGCCTCTGTCTCCAACCTGAAGACCCCTGAATAACATACTGTCTGAGTCCATTTTGCCTTGCTGTAGTAACACACCTGATGTGGGGTAGTACATAAAGAAGAAAGGTTGTGTGGCTCACCATACTGGCCACTGGACAGTCCGCACAGCATGGCACTGGCTCTGGCAGCAGCCCTCCGGGCTGCATTACATGTGGCAGAGAAGCAGAAAGGGAAACTGCCACATGAACAAGGAGCATGCTGCAAGCCAAGAAGCAGGAGGCAAGGGAGAGAAAAGGCTCGGTCCTTTATAACAACCCACTCTGGAGGGAACGAACCCACTCCCGGGAGGCCTGGCCCAGCCTGGGAGACCTGCACTCACCCCTTCTGAGGGCATGGCCTAATTGTGCCCCTTAAGGTACGCCTTTCAGAGGCACCGTCACCACACTGAGAACCAGGCTTCCATATGAGCCTTGGGAGGACGAGCCACATCCAGACCACAGCTCACCCCAGATTCCCTGTTTCTTTGCCCCCAACCCTAAGGGAACACATTGCTTGCCCCACAGAGCCCAAGAGCTGTGGACGATGATCCCAGCCGGACTCCTCAGGACTATGCTGGAGAGGGAGAGGTGGGCAAAGGTGGAGCAGGACTCTGATAAGGCAGATTGTAGCCCCAGGGGAAGGAAGGAGAGGCAGACTGGGGAGGCCAGTGCTGCCAGGATCTGGTGTTCCCCTGTGTCACAGATGCACACGTCCAGTCTAAGGTATAAAATGGGCTGGGTGTGGTGGTGTACATCTGTAATCCCAGCATTCTGGGAGGCCAAGGCGGGAGGATCTCAAGTTCAAGACTAGCCCACACAATTCAGCCACTTCACTGAGACCCTGTATCAGAATAAAAACATTTTAAAAGGCTGGGGATGTGACTCAGTGTGAAGGCCCTGGGTTCAATCCCCAGTACCACAAAAACAAAAGTAAAAAATGGCAAAATCTAATGAATCTGAGATTGGCAGGGCAATGTGGAGAGAGGCAGAAGGTCTGCATCCCTGAAGAATGCAGGGTGAGTCTGGAGTAGATCTCAGTTCTCTACTCCAAGATGGTGTTCTTCCCTCACTGCAGGCCTCTCCCTCCTGGACTTGTGTCTATGCCTGAGCTTTCTCTGCATCTGGTTCTCAACCTGGGGGCTTTGGAGTCAAGGAGATGGGCACAGAAAGCCTCATTTCTTATTGGCTTTGCTGAGGCGCCCCTACCCAAGAAGCAAATGGTACCTGCACCCCCCGAGGCAGCACATGCTGGACTGGAGCACGTGACTGGGTGCCTGGCACCACAGGGGCCCGGTCAGCCCTGGCGACTCCTACTCTCCCTGAAGCACTTGGATGGATGGATGTTCGCTTGCTCAGCGTGGCAGGCCAGCACAGCTTCCCTGAGTGTCCCCGCACAGGGACCCAATATTACATAGTTTGTCTTTAGCCCAGACAGGCAGGCAGGTGGCCAGGGGACAGGCAGTGTATTCAGAGGGGCAAAGAGAGGGTGGCAACTCAACAGCCAAGTGGTCTCGGTCTCTCTGTCTCTCTGTCTCTCTCCCTCTCTCCCTCTCTCCCTCTCTCCCTCTCTCCCTCTCTCTCTCCCTC